AAGGACAGAAGGATGAGTGGATTGAGAGCAGCCCTAACGAGAAGGACTTGGTACTGGTGGATGAAAAGCTGGACATGAGCCAACAATGTGTGCTCATAGACCAGAGAGCCAACCCTATCCTCGGCTGCATCACAAAAAGCACAGCTAGCAGGTCGAGGGAGAGGATTCTGCCCCTCTACTCTGCTCTGGCGAGACCCCCCCTGCAGTGCTGCATCCAGCTCTGGAACCCTCGGCACAGGAAAGACATGGACCTGTTGGAGGGGGTCCAGAGGAGGCCACAAAAATGGTGACCCCAGGCTGAGAGAATGAAGGTTGTTCAGCCTGGAGAAGAGAAGGCTCTGGGGAATAAGGTCTGCCCTCTTTCAGTATATAAAGGGGGCTTACAAGAAGAATGGAGAAAGACTTTTTACCAAGGCCTGTAGTGATAGGACATGGGGCAACGGCTTTAAGCTGAAATAGGGTAGATTTAGCTTGGACATGAAAAAAAAAGACATCTTTTACAATGAGGGTGGAGAGACACTGGAACAGGTTGCCCAGAGAAGTTGTGGATGTCCCATTCCTGGAAGTGTTCAAGGTCAGGTTGGACAGGGCTCTGAGCAATCTGATCTAGTTGAAGTTGTCCTTGCTCATTTGCAGGGGAGTTGGACTTGATGATTTTCAAATGTCCCTTCCAACCCAAACCATTCTATGGTTCAATGATTTTATGATTCATCAGCCATCAAATCCCTTCCATAACCAGTGTAACCAGGAATATAACCAGTGGTATAACCACCCCTTCTGCACTTTCCTCCAGGCCTTTCTCTTTCAGATTCTCTTCATTCTCCAGCCTTTGCTACCTGCATCTTCCTTTTCTGTTAAGCAGTCAGGCTACGGACCATTTCAAATGCCACATATTACAATGTCAGTGCTCAGGGATTCTTTCTGTTCTTGAAAGAAAAGGTTGATTTTTTTCTACCTGGGGTTGTTAGAAAACCAATAGAACAGTCCACTCAACAGCTGCACTAGCAGAATGAAGGTTGCTGTAACATCACGGGGAGGTGCAACACAGTGATGTTAAGGTCACAGCTTCATCAGTGACAGCAGGAGTGAGCAGAGCACTGTCCCACGGAGGACCTGACTTTAGCGCATGCACTGCCTGGCGTCACTGCAATGAAGCCTCTTACTCCGTGCAAAGGCTGAAACGCTGTCTTCTACTTTTTCAGCATTGTTCCTGTTTCATTAAACAGGCAATTTAATTTGATCCAGTGGGTGACAATAAACTCAAGCAAAGTCCCATACCCAGCAATCAACTTGTAGTTTTTATATTGTTACACATTACCTTATCTACACAAACATAAATAACAGAATCACACCTCTCATGATTAAAGAACAAGAAGCAAATAATATGTGTTAAGATGCTGCCTGCAAGCAGGACCAGTACCCAGAGAAGACTTTCCCTATCAGAAAATGCTTGCTGAACAAGTGAGACAGAATACAACTCGAGAAAAAGATTTCTGTTATATTTTTTGCCTTTCCAAATCAAACTTTTCATACTTGTAGAGGCTGCCACAGTAACTTGCCTATTTACAGTTACTTTCCTGATTGCAAGCTGGGATACTTGTCTGTCTTCAAAACAAGTCCTTACACAGTTTTGTCCAATTTGGTTTAGCACTCCCACTCCCCAAACTGTCATGATTTAAGAGCTTAGCTCTGCTTCTCCACATCAACAGCATTCTCCTGGAAAGGCTACCTGCCTTTCAAAACAGCCCAGCTGCCCTGCTGCTGTTCCTGAAGCTGCTACAATCTTCTTGCCAATGATCGGATTGTGAGAGCCACCTACTCAACATTTAAGCTCCTCTAAAGAGGCTCAGATTGAAGTCTTTCACCTTTTGGGAACAGGCAGAAGACTTCCCATCTGTACCTCCATCCATCTCCAAAGAATCTGAATCCCGGCTCAGAGCAGGCAGTCCCAGAAGGGTCTGCCTTTTGGAACTTACTTCCTTACTGTTCCAGCATTTCAAGGTGAAAAAAGGACTTTGTTTCTCTATGCTTTTCTGCAGGACTTCCCGAGAGAGGTTCAGTCTTTAGCAATGTCCCATGAGCTCTTATACTCCAGGGAATGGTGCAGCAGTGACCCGGTTCGTTCACAGTTCTTTGGGAACAGATCTGCTAAGCAGAGTGGGGGGTGAGACAGGTTCAAACACACTGGTGAAATTCTTTTTTTCCCTTTCTGCGCTTCTCTGTTGTCATGGTTTCCTAGCTTTAAAAGGTGTAATTAATATTAGAACATGTAATTAATATGACTAGACAGAAAACCTTATCCAAGCATACCAGCTCACCCTTTGAGGTACATGACTTGGAACATCACCTTGGCAGTAACGGACCGAGAAGAGCGGAAGGTTGCTTTCATCTCAGAAGCAAATACCACTGATGCCGAGGCCGGTGGGAAAAGGGTATTCTAGGGCCCAACGCGATATAACCCAGAGTGACCTTACTGAAACCTTTCCCACACAGAGCATGCAAGGAACCCTGCCTGGCTGCAGGACAGCATTTTTGGACAAGACAAAGGGTACAGCAGAAGCCAGGCTGACATTTGGGTGCTGATCAAGGTAAGTTTTTATATTATTTATACTTACATCCTGGGATGTGCCTAGAGCTGCAGAGCAGTGACAGGCTTGCACAGCTCTGAACATGTTGCTCATTAGCATCTGGCAAGACACTGTCTTGCCCAGAGACATTTCTTCACACCAGCTGACAGCCTTATCATTTGTATTTCAGCAAAGCTGGAAATTTTCAGCCAAGGCTGAGGCTCCACACTTGGTAGGAGCTTGTACTGTGTGAATATGGACAACACCTCCTGGCCCAAAATGGCTTCATGTTTAAACAGGTAAGAAAAAGCAGAGCATGGGAAAAGGAAGGACTATTATTCTTATGTTAGAGACTGAGACTTAAATCCAGAGGAGTGACCTGGCAAAGTGACAGAGGCAGACTCTCTAGAAGCAGGAATTGAATATTCAGTCCCAGTTTTGGACTTTAACTGTAACACTCTCTAACAGTCCCCCAGTAAAGCTCCACAAGACTCTGCAAAGGCTGTTATGCCTGATAATATTCAAAGATGACGAGTGGCCAGTAGGTCTCTGTTTTCCTTCTTCCCTTGAGTAGATGTACTCAATTTGTGCTGAAGTAGTGGAAAACAGGCAAGACTCCCTGTCTATCCCTTGATACTGTGCCAGCTTCAACAGCACAGCAATTACAGGAGAAGAAATAACCCACACCTGCAGAAGAGATGCAGGAGCTGCTGCTCTCTGGAGGAAGGGGATGGAGTAGTCAGGTTCTGACATTCACCTTCTCCAAAACTCTTGTTCTTGCAAATGGACCAAATGCTTGCAAACCCGTGCTGCTCACCTGTGCTACATTCCTCTTCTCGTGCCTGTACTGAACAGACTCAGCTCAGCCTGATGACTGGCCTCCAGCCATGGCGTAAGGCTGTCCGGGCTGCATGGAGAAGGCCAGCTTCCCAACTGTTTTTACTGGTCATCTGAAGCTGGATAGCAATGGGAGTGCCTGGGCAAAGTACAAGGAGATAGAAGGATACCTTCTGTGGCCTTGCAGCATAATACCTACCCTAAATTACAGTATGTAGATGCTAAAATAGTCAAAAACATGCAGTAATTAATATCATATGCCTGGCCATGAACACCTAAAGTATGTCAGGATTAAGTGTGGTCAGCTGACACAGCTTTCAATGCTCTAATTCTGTTCTTCACTTGGAAGCACTCATGGAACATCACATTGAATAACCCACTCCACAGCACACGGTATCTGTGTGCATAAAAGAGCAAAACAAAATTACAGCACCTAGGCTAGCTATTGCAGATATTGCTCCTTTCAAGAACAGTCATGTAATTTTGGTCTCTGTCCCAAAAGGACAGAGTAGAACTGGAAAAGATGCAGAGAACAGCAAGAAAAATGATCAAAGGTCTGGAAGCAGTTCCATGTATGACACAAGCTGGTGCCAGGCCAGGTAAGACATGACAGAGGGGGAATATGGCACCTGTCCATAAAATCCTCAGTGGTCTGGAGAGGATGGATAAAGATCAACTGTTTACCACCTCTTCAAATGCAAAAACTAGGGGAACCACTCAACACCACAGGATGAAAATTCAAACTGAGTCAAGTTGACGGGCCTTCAAACAAGGGGTAGACAACCAAGGGAAGTGCCTCTCAAGGAGCACCATGGATGCAAAAAACATACATGTATTCAAGGGGAAACTGAACACTTTCAAGGACAAGAAATCCAGTAGGAATCACTGAGCACAAAGACAGCAGATCTAGCTCAGAAGACTCTCAGCTGCATACAACTGAAGGCTGTGGTGAAGTATCATACACGCTTCTGCAAGCAGATCCTGTAGGCCATTGCCAGAGACAGAACATCCCACTAGGAGTTTTGGTCTGACCCAGCACAGTTGCCATTGTTTTCTTATATATCTGCAGGCACAAACCACTTGAAGACAGATGCATGTTAATCCGGGCTCTGACGCAGCCTGGCTACATCCGTACATACATACATCAGATAGCTTTATGGGGAGCTGCGACTACTACCACAGCATTCACCTTCATGACAAGGACACAGGTCCTCTATACAATCGCATCTCACAGCCACCAACATAAACCGCACTTGCGTCCAAGCGCTGTGCTGCAGAGCTGCACCCAGCCTGGCAACACACACTCTGCGTGGGGGAGTCACAGATCCAGAGCTCATCAAGACAGAAGAAAAGCAGGAAAGAGGGAGAGACTGAAATATGCAATGAGACATAACAGTGAATGGGAATAGCACGTATGTGCTCAGCAGCACCCGGACGTCTGGGTCTCCTGGTTAAATACCCTTGATTAAAAGTGGGGAGCTATGATACCTAACAGAAATTAACTTTCTCCTCCTTATTGCAAGTTGGCAACTGCAAAGAAAAAAAAAAAGTAAAACCCAAACTGTTCTATGAATGAAGCAAGTTTGGAGTGCCCACCTCTCTGAAGAGCGCGCCATAAAACTGAACAATATACGGGCAGTCACTGCTTCGCATTACTACATCAAGGTCCATCAGAAGCTGCTTCTGTTCTTTTTCATCCACTGTCGACCGAATTCTCTGAAAGAAGAAGAGTGGCAGAGACTTTATCACTTACATGCCATTACTGTATCCTCAGACCCGCTTCTGGAGAAATGTGCCAGGGAACCCAAACCCAAGGCTGAGCAGGCAATCCCAAAGGCATGCTTAAACACACTCTAGAGAATTAAGCTGTGTTCTCAAATAAGAAATATAACTAAAAATCCCTAAAGCCATTTAATTCAGACTATAAAATCCCCAGTCCTCTCATGAGCATCAACATTTTCAGATGAAATGTCAGAATGCAATTAAAGAGCAGAGATTTCATTGGTTTTCAGTGTTACCGCAGAACAACATATTCAGGCTTTCATTTTAAAAAAAAATTCCCACACAGTTCTTAGCCATGTTGGATGGGGCTCAAAGGCTGTTTTGAAATTTAACCAAGGAATATTATCTTTAAAATTTCTAAGACAAGCACAGAAGACAAAAAGGCTCCTTCCACCATGGCTGGCACAGTGAAAAGGGACCATCACATAACAAAGGGAACACATTGTTCTGGTAACGCTAATGGTGGGCAACGGTTCTGTGAGCTCTTCTCATAAAACTAACAACTCTTTACCTAGTACTGGCCTATGGAACATTAACACTATATAAAAAATTATATATATGTGTGTGTGTATAGATATCTATATATATACACACGCATAGGTATATATAAAATATCTACCATGTATATAAAGAGATATATGTATATACACAGTATACTTCATATATATACTATACATAAAGAAAAGTCTCATTTGGACTTGAAAAGAACAACGCAAGTTTGAAAATAGAAAACAGTACATGTGCAAACATGAAGCTTGTTAAATGAAAGATGGGGAAGACCATCCAGTTTTTCATGGTATTTTACAGATGTATTTAACATCTTGCACTAAGTAATGCATTCCCTGAATCACAGGTAAGGAAAATTGTGATCCTCAAGGTGTGACTCATGTTGAAAAATCATTTAAAAAAAGGTGAAAAAATTTGGCAAGAAGTCCAAACAGAGGTAGCCTGGACCCTCCTCGACGAAAAAAGCTACTTGGCTATCAAAGAAAGAACAGTTATTCCAGGTTGTGGGAAAAATCTGCAAGATACCAGCACCCACTTCCATCAACACTACTGCCCAATGAGCAACTGCTGGTGGCATCAAGACCACACAATTAGCAAGCACAAGGCTAAGTATATGAAGGTACTTTCAAGGTTGGCCATTCATATTGCAGCATTTGAGAAACAGTGCATGATTATGTACCTTAAAGCTATTTTTGTGATGACCCACACAAAATGAGGACAATATCAACATTATAATTTTCCTTACCTTTGGTGTATCCTGATATTTTGGTATTTCACCACTTGTTCTTAATGTTCTAGTAGCTCTAGTTTGGCCTAGACCAGTAATTGTCATGTTCCTATTGCCCTTTTCCCTCCCAGTGAATTGTAGAGTACTTGGGAAAACTGGCAAGAAACTTGCCCAGCACACCCACGATCTGTAACATCCACACCCTGCGATGCCTGCGATGAGTGGGTGGGATTGAGTAGTCACAAACAGAGCAAGAAGATGGCTCAACGGACTAGTAAAGAAAACTAAAAAGCTTCACCTCTAGGTCACTGGTTCAAGTCTGTTTCACAGAAGTTCAGACACGTCACTGAAGGAAGCCAGACTAGTTTGGTTATTTCTTCGTCTTACATCTACATCATATAAGGCTCTACAACCCCTGCTGAGATATCAAAGGCTGAGCAGATCTAATGTCTCTTTCTATGTGGCACACCGTCAGCACTGTGTGAAACGATAACGCCATTGCTCAGACCTCAATAGAAGACGATGGGTGCCAAAGCCACCATGGTGGGACCTATGAGGAATAGTTTAGTCTCTTACTGAGATGCTACCCACTCCCCTCTGAAAAGTTCACCTCCGATGAGGAGCGATATCAGAAGCAGCTTTTCTCCATATTGTAACTCACATCTCCCTTCTGTGCCAACTCCACATCTGTCTCCAGAAGTCTCTCTCCTGGTCAACCGGGAGCCTCCCCAGCCCCCCTCTGCATTCCGCTTGCATCTGCACGACCCTGTCACATCCATCCCTGCAGTGTGCTCCTCAAACACCACAACTTCTCCTGAAAGCATTCTCCTCCCACCTCTGACATTTTCTTTTCTGCTGTTACTTCTCCAACTCTAGAAAGCATGTGAAATAATTTGTATAGAGGAGGCAATTTTAACAGCATCCCAGCACAACACCAAACCCAAAGATTTCTCCTTTTCCCAAATACAATCTCCCCAGGGAAGAAGAGAAAGAGCAGGCAGAGGACCCAGAGGGCAGACAGTGGGTCGGCTACAGGGCAGAGCGTCCAGACAGACACGGGAGACAAAGGAGAACTCCCTGAGTTGTGAGACACCACAGTGCTGTCCTGTGTACAGGGCTTGCACGTGTCCTCAGCAGAAAGCACAGCGGTGCTTGATGGTGGCACCGGAAGGCTGGTGCTCCCAGGGGACGGCAGGGACTGAGGACGCCAAACACCGTAAGACGCCAGCATGGACTCCCCAACAGACACTGCTTCAGGGGATGAAGGTGATGCAAGATTGGAAGGTCTCCTACAAGAGTGCTGGAGACTGGTGATTGGCAAATTCAAGAGGAGGAGGAAAACTATCAGGAGCAGCACGCAGCACAGTGCTGAGCTGGGGTCAGGCCAGGCTGGAAGAGATGGCTTTGTTTAGCTGGAGCACACCAGGGAGTCTGCTGCAGGCCAGTGGTCCCAATTCACCAGCTAAGGAATGAGGGCTCACCAGTGAAATAAGGAAGAAACAGCAAAAGGTGACTGAAGTCAACAGCAGCCGCTACCCAAATAGTACACGAGCCATAATGACGATCTGCTACCTAACTCCAAGGCAGAGTGCAAGACACTGCAGCACCTACCAGACAGACTCCCCCAAGAGCATGGGAGAAGGCAGGGAAGGAAGGCGCAAGGTGAGGCAGCAGCCTGAAGACACCATTTAAGACAAGGATGAACAGGTCTGACTTAGCTTCAGCTCTTACATCTCTCAGCCTGGTCACTCTACTGCATGTAGTCACTAACATGGCCAAACAAGCCACATATGGAAAAAGTGTTTTTTGTCACAGAGGCTTATGGAAAATCTCTTTTTTAACAGTTCATTTTTTGGCCTCAAACTGCATCAAATCCTCCAGGAGAAAATTCTCCAGTCCTTTTAACACAAACATCAGTTAGCACAAAGCGTCCTGATATCAGGAACGACAGCTCTGAAAAGCTACGCCCTGCGCAGCATCAACAGCAGAAGAATAAGCTATGCTGGGGATTGGACCACTCTCAAACTTAAAACCAGGCGGATCCCAGAAACTGGACCCAAAACAGAAGAGACATCACACAGCCTCAATAAACACACAAAAGGATCCAGGTGCAGTGGGTAGCAACCATTTAAAAAAAGAAAAGGAAAGAAAAGAAAAAAAAGCTATAAACACCAAACTGAAAACTCCCTGAGTTGTGAGACACCACAGTGCTGTCCTGCGCACAGGGCTCACACACGTCCTCAGCAGAAAGCACAGCAGTGCTTGACGGTGTCACCGGAAAGCTGGTGCTCCCAGGGGACGGCAGGGACTGAGGACACCAAACCAGCAGAAAGAAGGGGGTTTGTTCACTTGCTGCTGAGGACAAGAATATTTAAAACATTTGAAACACTTGAAACCCATCTGAAACACATTTACTGCTGACAGAAGTACGTCAGGTCTTCCGCTGATCACAACTTGTTTTCCGCCTCCTGTAAAGGTTCTTGCTCCCTCTCAACATTTCCTTTTAGCCCTTACTCATTCACTCCTTTCCCAGTGTACTACTAGCAGGGCTTGGAGCACTGGTTTCCCCAACTCTCAGCCAGCTACTCAAACGGATGAGTGAAACAGAAAATTCTGCTCAATAAACCACTAGGAGTCAATTTGGGAGAGGGTACCTAATCATGCGAAGAATGGGAACGATGATTTGCAATAAAGCCAGCTTGGAAAAAGTCCCAAGACTTCCCTTCACAAGTCACATGGGAAATCAGAAGGACAGAGAAATTTGCCCCTTGACTGAGCTTAATATGGCAATGTGTCATTTTGGTGGGCTTTTATGGGCTATCAGGCATCCAGGTAAGGATGGAGAGATTATGGGAGGTATAAAATGAATGTTAAATTTCTGCTCTCAGGGATATTTGATACTTAGCAACCTATTTCAGCTGTAAGGCTGCCATCAGAGAAAACCTGTGAAAGCCAAAGTCACGAACATCTGTTTTAAAGCTACAGATGAGAGAGTAAGCACTGACTACAAGGCAAAATGATGTGAAAGAGGCACTGTGCTCTGAACAAGAAATGGCTCTACAGCTTACTTGCTTCTCCAGGAAGACGACGGATCTTTTATGGACACCTCATCTGTTTGGCATCCTACTGAATTTTATGTATCTCTGAACAGTGCCTTGGCCAGCTTCTCCCATTACCCAGTTCATCTCGAAATTGCTTCTGATTTTCTTAGAACAAGTTTAGAGCAGAAGAAGTGGAAGACCACTTGTAGTCTGGTCAAAAATACTGCTAGACAACAAAAAAACAGCAACAACATCTGGGGGTGCTAGCTGGAACTCTAGACTAGGCAATACTGCAGAGCAGGACTGAATCAGCTAGGCTGATTTACACAATAGATATGGGAAGATACAGAAAATTCTGGTATATGGCTGAAAAATCGCTACATCCTTTGGGGTAGGGGAAAACCGAACACAAGGACTGTGGACAAAAATTGCCCTCTCCCCAGCTGGCTTTCTCTCCTAGCTGTAACTATTTCAGACAGAAAAATAATTCAGTTTAAAAGAGGTGCAGGATGTTTCCATGGGGCTGTGACAAGAAGCTTGAAGGTCAACCAAAGCACAAACCACTCTACTCGTCTCCTGATGGTGTATTTTTCAGCCAGTTGAACTGACTGAAAAGTTGGCAGAAGCTGCTAATACCGAATTCCAAACGTCAGAGGCGC